GCTTGCAACAGTGCCGAAATATCGGAAACTCGCTAAAACAAGGTACATGGTAACAATCCCGTAAATAACATCTCTTATCTATTAGACAAGTCCGTCTGTCTGTCTGTGGTGCTGTTTCAGCGGCCAAACCGTAAGAGATAGATAAAGAGAATATTTAAGTTTTAAGAATAGTCTGATAAGACTACAAACCGGATTTGAGTAACGTAGCACTTCCGGTTTTCGAGAAATCAGGTTTTGGTGAACATTTGGTTCACTGGTTTGCTAGTATTACTATAATGTTAGTGACCATGAAAGTTTAAAACAATATAAAGTGCGGGACGGTCTGGCCCACTGAGGGTTCTGTTCACATTTGTAGGTACGCATCATAAATGGCCGTATAACTTTTTACTTCAACTTTCTTATTTGTAAGTTTTCACTTTCCACAGCTTCAAGGGAACGTAGACTTGAGTAAATTTAAAGTTTAAATTTAAACTCGATCCCTACACGCGGTACCTAGATAAAGGGTATTGACAGACAGATAAACGGCCGTATCTTCATTTTACGTTAACTTAGAAGTTTTAATTTTTCATAACTTCAGGGGACCGTAGACTTGAGTACATATATATATATGGTTTTAAATTGCAACTCGATATCTCCGCGCGTTTCCGTGATAAAGGGTCTTTACAGACAGACGGACGGACAGTCGGACAACAAAGTGATCCTTTAAGGTTTTCTGTTTTTTCTTTACAGGTACGGAACCCTAAAACAATATTTCTATTGAAACGAAATGAAATGAAATGAAATGACATGAAATGAAATGAAAAGACATTTATTCAGTCTAGGCTGTTACAAGCACTTGTGAAGGTCAAGAAGCTACGCCATCGGTTCGCAAAACTACGGCGGGAGACCTTGTACTGAGAAGAACCGGCAAGAAACTCAGCAAGGGCTGCTTTTTTCTCCCTGTATTGATATATACAGAGTGGTCAAGTTGAAAAATGACTTCAGAGATACTTCTGAAGTCACCTTCCATTACATTATTAGTATAGTAGTAAGTATAGTAGATAAAAATATAAAGTTAGAATAAATTTTATATTTAGTATATAGGAAGCGGCATTAGATAGGTACCATATTACTGTTACAAAAACTGACTCATACATTAACGTCAGTATTATTGCCAGTAATAGCTGTGATTATTATTTTGTTATTAGAGTGTCTAAAATGGGTAAGAGACATAGGAAGGCTACGCGTCCGCGATACAGCGAAGAAATGAGAAATTCTCGTCTCAATAAACAAGTCAATGTCGTTACATTTTGTTTCGTTAAACATTGTGGGACTTTACGCCTGTGATTTCTTTACCATGTCAAGTCGAGAAAAAACTTTGGAGCCTTGAAACAATTCAAATTCACAGAATGTTTATTTCTTTATGCGTACTGATATTTCATTTCTTTATTTTTGCGAGAAAATTATTTACCTATTTATTTCGTCAGTTAGATAATGAAAAAATAATGGATGCTTGTTTTTTTCTTTTGTCAATTAACCAAAAAATAACAAAGATGAAGCGCCTCAAAGTTTGGGAGTGGGGGCTCGTGACGTCACGTCTAAGTAATAATTGTACCAAGACGTGACGCCATGCGATATTTCGAATAATAGCGTAATAAATACAAATATACAAATTCTTTATTTTGATACAATAATTTCCGAATTTCTTTTAAGTAAATATATACTTGTATTAGAAATTCCCGCTCTCCGTGCTAAAAGACATGGTACATTGAATTATTGAGCACCTAAATATTTTAATAATAGTGAACTCTAAAAAGTAGCAAAAAAAATATATCATTTATTTTTACAATATTTCTTTAAGTCGATATGTTTGTCTGTGCTTATGCATGCTTGCATGTGGGTGTATGAGTGTGTGAGTGTATGTGTACGTGTGTGTGCGTGTGTATTTGTGTCTGAACAAAGAGTGTATTGTTGAAAGTGGTTCTACTGAGATACCTATAAAACACCAAAATGCAAAAAATCAATGGAGAAAAAATGTTTTAGGTAATCCTTCCCCTCCTCACCACCCGGGTACTCTGAAATAACAAAGGAGTTGGCAGAGCATCATGGGTGCAACAGCATAATGTATAAATATTTCTTCTAGCTCTAGAGCTTCCACTAACCAAATTTAAATCTCAGATCAAGAATTCTCTTATGAATAAGGGCTAATATAAAGTTAATGATTATCTAAATGATCGTAATGCATGGACATAGTGTTTCTTGTTATTTGTTATTTGATGGGTATGAGTCAGTTTTTGTAACAGTAATATGGTACCTATCTAGCGCTGGTTCCTAAATACTAAATATAAAATTATTATTGTAACTGTATATATCTATATCCTAAATAATGTAATGGAAGGTGACTTCAGAAGTATCTCTGTAGTCATTTTTCAACTTGACGACTCTGTTTATAACAATACAGGGAGAAAAAAGCAGCCCTTGCTGAGTTTCTTGCCGGTTCTTCTCAGTACAAGGTCTCCCGCCGTAGTTTTGCGAACCGATGGCGTAGCTTCTTGACCTTCACAAGTGCTTGTAACAGCCTAGACTGAATAAATGACTTTTCATTTCATTTCATTTCATAGAAATAAAATCAGCGACTTCACATTGTTTCCGATCCGTTTCCGGTTTTATCGTTACGCTCGCAAGATAAGCTGCCGTACGATTTACCAACTGATATTAAAAACTTGGCTTTGAGCCAGGCCGTAGCGCGAACTGAACATTGTATTTGATGAGTGAGAAACTTCAAAGAAAATATGCAAAATTATTGTCGACATTGCGCTAAAAAAAATTAGTCGACATTGCGTTAATGCATCACTCAGTTGGCAACCAATCGGAGGGGCTTTTTTTTATGTGCATCACTTAAATGTGCTTCTGAAGCGCCAATTTTATTTTAGAGATTAGCATGTCTCTAAGTGTCGCTGCACACGGGCCACCGACCACAACCACAAAACGCCGCCACCGGCATATTTCTTGTAGTTTTCATACATTTTATATGGACTGGCCGCACACGATACGCCGGTGGCCGCCACACGCTACAAATCGGTCTAGTACCTCGTCGTTGCTCGCTTCCTGTGGCCCGCACCGGCCACTTAATGCGCTGATACAAAACGCCGCCACACGTCACTCGCGCAATGAGGGCTATCGCGTATGAATCCGCCGCTAGAGGCGCTAGTGTAGCGTGAGGTCTCCGAAATGTCAAATGTTATTGCTTGTTGGTTGACTACGCGGGTTTATTTCTAATTAAAATAATGTTGTGAATAATTGGTAACAATTCGGCTTAATTATGGCAAATATGAGTTATGTGGCAATGAATGTCAGTTATTAAAAATTTGAGCTTAGAAAAATGATTATTTTCCCATTTTTTTCGAATAAAACGGAACTGCGCGTCACTGTGGCATGGCCTATTATGTTTAGGATATGGTTCTTTTGTGTTAAAATACGATCTAAATGTTCTGTTCTTTGATTTCATGTGCGTATTAATAAACTTTAAAAGTTACAATTTAGGACCTCACTCAACAGTGGCGCCATCTGGTGAGGCAGAAAACGGTAGCCCTCATTCACCACCCTTCTTTCCCTTACCTTAGTCGGCCGCTGTCGCGCGCTTCAGCCACTTTAGTAGTCGATTCTAGCTTCTCGTGGCGGCGTTAGTGGCTGTGGCGTGTGGCCCGTGTGCGGCGACACTAAGGTGCACGACATGTCAAATCTGATTTCACATCGTTCAATTTCGAATATTTGAAATCTTAGAGAACCACCTCTAACTTTAACTTATTTTCATTTAAGAATTTAAATGCTAGATGTTTTTATAGAATTCAATTTATTTATTTTAGCCATTTAGCCATATCAAATATATAAATACAATAATAATAATTAACAATACAAAAACCTAATTGGAAAAAAATATTTCTACTTCATTATGTCTAAAAAGTATGGCTCAATCACATTTGGTCGCCCGAATTGGGATGCACAAAATACATTACTTAAATTCGGGCACCCGAAGCAATATTTACACTGGATTACGGACTGGAAGAGGGTATCCGTAGACGGTATCCGAATTCCGTTAGCACTCGTATTTGGGCTAAAGACCGAATGAATGTAAACGCGATATAAGGCCTCAATTCCAAACGCTCGTTTTTATCAGCTGATAAAATCCGATGCTTTATAAAGATATTGCACTTTCATTTTTTTTGTTATAGGGGGCATACGAGCAGACGGTTCACCTGATGGTAAGTGATCACCGTCGCCCATGGACACTTGCAACACCAGGAGTATCACAAATGCGATGCTGGCCTTTAAGGAAGGAGTACGCTCTTTTTTTGAAGGTTTTTGGGTCGTATTGGTCCGGAAAGACTGCTGGCGACAATATATTCCACAGTTTTGTCGTACGTGGTAAAATATTTCGACAAAAACGCACGGTTGTGGATAGCCACTTCTATTGTGCCGCCATTATCGCAGCAGTGTGTAACATTGCAGCCGTTTTAATCCATAATGCAATAAAAAAAAATGCGGGTGGCCAAAACAAAATATTTAAAAATAAACAACTCGTCTCATTCAGTCAGCCATACTCTTCATCTTCTGCAACCTGTACTAGCAAATGCTTTAAAAAAAACAAAGTTTTCTGTCTTGGTTAATAGAATATTCACTCAATTCGAATTTGAATCCAGCAAAGAGACTAAAATAAGTTTTTTTTTCTTTATACATTATTTTTTACATAATGTTTTTTATATTAAAAATAATGTAACTTGACTTATTAACAACACTTATTAAGTTATCAAAAGGAAACGCAAATCTCATCAACAGTTCAAATCTATATCCAAATCACAAAAACAAATGACTGTAAAAGATGATTCCAACACTAATTGAAAGAAACAAACCAGTTTTCACCCTAAACGGGTGAGTGATTAACGTCAAACGAGAGTGTCAAACAGTGTAGAGTGTCAAACAGTGTAGAGTGTCAAACATTGTAGTGTTAAACAGTGTTAACAATGACTCACCGGACACTTAACACGACGCTGCAGAGTGGGGGTAATGATACGGACGCGTGGGGGGGCATATCCCCCTTCGACTCGGACCTGGATGTATTCTATAGGCCGGATGTGGTCATCATAGTGATGTACGTCGCCGTGCTGACCGCTTCGCTGTCAGCCAACACGCTGCTCATCTTCATCGTCATCAAGTTCCAGTACATGAGAAAGTGAGTGGTAGTTTTAATTATTCCTTTCTATTGTTAATTAAGAGACACAGGATCCATCTTAGTCCAGGTGTCAACCCACCATAGTCTGATTGACACTTACCTGTGTTTTTTGTGTAGAATGTTTTTATATCGCTGTTTTTATGTAGCCATCATCTTATTAATACCTGAATTGTAAACATTGTGATTGCAAAATAACGGTGTCCAGTTTGTCCTATAAATAATACCATATTATTATTATTGACATAATTATTATTATTAACCTAGACAATCTACACTATGCTGCAGGAGGGTAGGATCATACGGTGGGGTGGTAAAATAAAAAAAAAAGTTTAAATAAAAAAAAATACTATGAACAAAATACGTTTCTGAAATACAAAATATTTCTATGAACCATTTATAGGATAGCTTTTTTTACCAGAACAGTTTCCCAACAGCCATCAATATTAAAAAAAAGAAAATTAAGTTTTTTATTTTGTTACTGACCGGAAATCGAACTGGAGACCTCGGAGGTCTCAATGCTGGTTGGTTTCCGGAGACTCAAGACTGCTTATTATAGGTATTTATATAGTCACGGGACACCCGCGTACTTTTGTCCGGTCCGGTTTCTCGGTGTCATCGGTTTTTCGGGGGACTTATTGTACGCGGTATTTTTAATCCGCCGCGTGCGTTACTCGTTGAAGTTGCAAGCGATCTATTTTGTCGAACAAAAAACTCCGCGGGCCGGACGCCCTCGTCTGCGCAGGCTTTCACAACGAGTTGTCAGAGAATTATTGTGATATAGGTAGGTATTTTAAAAAAAAAAAAATTTTTTTTTTATTAGGGATAACAAACAGTTGTACTATATATTTTAAGTGAAGGGTTACAATTATGTTATACTTATTGTACAACCAACAACATTATCCACAGATTAATACTAGGATTGTTTTGTTTTATATATGTTTCTATTATTCTTTTTCTATACTAAAAGAAAAATATGTTGTACACTACACAAATAAGTATCCAGTAGAAACAAAAAGCTTGTCGAGGCGTACCAAGGCAATACATATATTATACATCTAGCTAAAATACATATTATGATAAATGATCATACACTTTGGTCTTGAAAGAAGTGTCTGAGAGCAGGAAAATGTCAATATCATGTGAGCTCAAACTATCATTAAAGGTGTTCATTATTCTGTTCAAGGTTAGGTTAAACCTATTTAACCTAAATACAATTAATACAGTTCAACAATGATATCAAAGTTAACTTAACCTAAACACAATTAATACAGCTCACAAACAATATCAAACCCTGAGCGAATAAGTGACGGTCGACGGTAATATTATCGAAAATCACGAGACAAAGCTGTGTACACAACATTAATTAAATACGCACGGTCGGTCTCATTGTATTTGCTGACAGCATTTCTGATCGGAACCTATCTAGATATAAGATTTGTTGTTTCAGCGACATTCCGAAGTGCGCGCAATAAGGGGGTGTATTGAACTTTCGAGAAGCTCAATATTGCTGGCAATTTTGTAGGTTGCTGTCGCAGTGGTCAGTCTTTGGATGGGTGAAAGAATGATCATATTAATATTAATGAGCACGGTAATATTATATACAGTATTCTATCTTCATAAAAATATGGGTGCGTGTACTTAAGTACGCGCGTGAGAAGTTATACTTCTTTTTGGAATTATTAAAAAATAGTTTTTAATTGCATGCAGATAATTAATTACAATAAGATAATAAAAGGATTGGAAAAGGATAGTCAACGCAGTCAATAAAGTTCAGTTTTAATTTGAAAAATTTAATAAATAATCAAAATGTTCAATTTAAATCACTACTGAATAAAATTTATTAGCACATATAAATTTCGCATTTGTATAACATTATAACACGTGTTAAGAATATAGAAACTAGAAACATGTGGATAAATATTATAAATATGAAAACAGTGATCAGAGGCGACGAGCGTCCCAACATGTGCGACTAAGAGATCCTATTACAATTTTGTTGGAAGCTTTTTTTCGAGACTTACTAATTTAATATGGCAAAGAACAAACGACGATATTGTGCTGTTTCTGGTTGCTTGAACTCTTCAATAATTAAACTTTTTATACGAATGCGTATTTATTATACTATAAAATTTAATAATAAAGCTTTTCGTACGTCTCAGTCGAGTCGTTAATATTTTTCTGTCTCAAATCTATTTCTTTTTATTGAATATTACACTTAAAATAACATGTATTTTATGTAACACTTCCTAATTCACTCCCAACATTTTTTTTGCATATGAAATAAAATATTTACAATCACAAAACGTAAAATATTTACAAAGAAAGAAACTCAATTATGTAGATGAAATTAAAATACGGTAGGCGGGCAGCCCTACCGCGTGGATAGCAGTAGGCAGTTATTTCAAGGAGAGAACCGAGTCACAATATTGTATAGATAATATTACCGTGTCCGGAGCTTTCTTTCTGCTATTGCAAAACACGCTTGGCCGTGATTGGTTTATTTATGTGAAAAGGGTGCAAATGCACGAAAGACATTACTCGAATTCGGGCGACCGAAGCAATATTTACACTGGAATACGCGCTGGAAGACGGTGTCGCGCAAACAAAAGAAAATCTACCCGAATACGTGTGTATTCGATTCCGTTCATTAAAAAAAAAAACAAAATCAAAAATTTATTCCTATCACCAATATTTTTATTTTATTACTATTATTTATTTGGGATAACTAACAACTGTGCAATATTGTACGTAATGTAGTAACACTAAAAATATATCACAACACAGAGATTATATTTTAAAACATCATAAGTTTGCAATATCTATTATACTTGCAAATCGGTGGTATAACTAAAAAAAACCTTACAAAACACAATTTTAAATGTTCGGTAAACAATCAGTAATGGCCTTTTTATATTGAATAAAAGACATTGTAAAGTCCAAATCAAAATCAGATAGGTTGTCATAAAAAAGTTCATTATTCGACGTAGATGTGCGCGTTCTCCTGCATTCGTTTTGCACTGTTTGGGGAAAAATAGTTTATGAGCATAGGCATCTCTTATCTATTAGACAAGTCCGTCCGTCCGTCCGTCCGTCCGTGGTGCTGTTTCAGCGGCCAAACCGTAAGAGATGGAAGAATGTTTAAGTTATAAGTTGAGAATAGTCTGATAAGACTACAAACCGGATGTGAGTAACGTAGCACTTCCGGTTTTCGAGAAATCACGTGATTTCTATTTCAAACGAAACCACACAAAATCTCCGAAGTTCTCAATTAATGAAATACATTTTTTTTTTGGTGAACATTTGGTTCACTGGTTTGCTAGTCTCTTATAATATAATGCTTGTGATACAATATTTGAGAACCCCTAGTAGACAAGCTTATTTGCCTGTGTCAGGAATTCTCGCTTTTCCATAACCCTTCCAAACTCAATACCATATCATACACTTAGGCGTTTACCCGAATTCCATTGGCACTCGTATTCGGGCTAACGACCGTGTAATCGCGCCATCATTGTTATCGACTGCAAAATCGTATAGACGCCTGCGATACCAGGGAATCATGGAAGCAGTGTTTCCACTTTAAAGATTTCCTTTCCCCATGCCTCAATTCAGATTAATTTCCCCTTCTTAGGACATTTTTCCCCTCAAAAATTATTCTGCTGTAGTTTTTAGATTTGGCACTAGTGTAGTAACTAAAAAAAGGTCTTATACTATCTTATTCTAAAACAGATAAATAAAATATATAAAATCTGCACGTGTTGCCACAGTTTCTTTTATACGGCAACACTCTAGTCCACGTTATAGTCCATAAAAAAATTGTTCCGTGCCGCATTATTTTAGGCTATGCTTTACCCATAATTTCCCGCAATTTCTTTTCATGTCTTTCCCCTTTTTCTTCCCCTCTGGACCCTAATTTCCCCTTAAAAGGGGAATTTCCCCTCATTGTGGAAACACTGCATGGAAGAAAAAATATCTAAACTATACCAAATTTCATCTAAATCGATACGATTTTTGGACGTTAATATATTATTTTATTTTCCATTTTAAAATCTTATTTACTTATACAACGGCTAGAGCTAATAAAGGTGAACAAAGATTTTATGTTCATTGTTGTTGTTCGGAAATAGCAGACAACTGTTATCGGAACGTGTAAGATTTCGGGAATGAACTTTTGATATACGGATATGTAACTTTTTGCGGAAGTAGGTAATTGCTAATTATTTAGCATCATTTATATGAATTTTTAAAATTTGGTTAAAACAAACGGTTAAAAGTCACTACATAATATACATAAATAAAACATTGTTTTTAGTTCTAAAGAAAAGTTTACTAGAAAAAAAAATCCACGCGGACCAGGCAGCGGACGGGATTCGAACCCGCATCCTTCGCTATCCGGGCGAATGCACTGACCATTATGCTACCACGGCCCTATTAGCCGCGTTGAAATTTTCCTAGCCTTAAGCTGCAAGGCAGCGCCATCTCTTCGCATTGTAGGTAACCCACAATGTCAAATGAATTCAATTCAATTCAATTTTTGGTGATTATGGCTGCGTCTCATTAGTCAAATGAATACTTTTTCAAGTATTAAACATTTGAAAGAAGAAATAGCAATTATAGTTATGATTTTATTTATTTTTTAAGCATTTAACTGCTAGATGTTTAAATCTAAAGAAAAGTTTACTAGAAAAAAATCCACGTGGATTCGCCCGGATAGCGAAGGATGCGGGTTCAAGTCCCGTCCGCCTGGTCCGCGTGGATTTTTTTCTAGTAAACTTTTCTTTAGATTTAAACATCTAGCAGTTAAATGCTTAAAAAAAATCATAATTATTTTTAGTGTTAATATATCTATGACGCAATCTGGTACGGGGTATGGCCATTGTCCTTTGACATGTTTATGTGAAATAATAGTTTTTGAGTTATGAGGGGGTCAAAAGTAATTCCGAATGGTTCGTGTAATATTGGCGCTCACACATGGTGCTGCTCGCCAGTTCTGTTAGCTTGAACTTGCTTGACACGCTACAGCGTGTCAAGATTAAAGTTTAATTTAAAATATTACATAACTGATTAGATAAAACTAGTTTTAACGGATTAATGCACGAACTTTATTTATTTATTGACGTTTCGCAGCCTTTTCAGGTCTGATTGTCAGAACAATGATTTTTTAATTTCTTTGTCGAGCTACCTTCGAAAGACTTTGATTGAGCGTTCGGATATTTCATTGGAAGATTTTTAAAACTTTATTGTCTATGTATGAATTTATTAGTTAATTTAGTTAATAAAGTACTTTATTTAAAATTCTTTTTGTAATTTTGAGTTTATTTATTTGACCCTAACTACCGTAAACTACCACCGGTTCCAAAATTGGGAGACCTTTCTGAAAAGGACCGGCGAAACAAACTCAGAGAGGCTTTCTATCTACACAACATAAGAAGGAGATTGAAATCCAATAAATAAATAAGTTCGTGCATTATTCCGTTAAAATTAGTTTTATTTAATGAGTGATGTGCGTGAAAACCTAAGAAACAAATATATAACTGATTAGATTAATTATACTGTAAACAGCGTATAAAATTAAAACAGAAACGCTTTATTGCCTCTCAGAGAACGTGTTAATAACGAATATTGCAAAATAATTATGACGATATTGCTTCCATCGAGAACGGGTTTAATTTTGGATAAAACAATCTTGCTAATGGAATAATATTGATAGATTGAGAGGGCTTTCCCGGAAATATGATTGACAAATAAGCATCCGCCTATTGATGCTGATAACGATGTCCTGACTGCTTGAGTACAGGTCTACTTTATTTAAGACACTAGTGGCCCGCCCTCGCTTCGCTTCGGTGTTGAGCTGTAGTGTAGACTAAATTGAGTTTTCATATAAATATAAAAAAAAAAACTGAAATTCGTATCAAATATAATCAGAATGCTCAGATCTGCTAAGCTATCAGGAGTTACACGTGTTATTGTGAGTCAACCATAAAAGATAGACGTATGCTGTTGCGGGATATTTTTTAGACAATTTTATGTAGAATATTTCCGTCATACATGATTTCTATGTAACTTTAACCATTAAGGCTGCACACGCGACGGAAGCTTAAAAAATGGAGTAAATTATCCCGTTTTCCCAACAATTCCCGTCACTGCTCTGCTCCTATTGATTGTAGCGTGATAAAAAGTATACTATAACCTGCCCATGAGGGTGAAGAATAATTGTACCAAGTTTCGTTAAAATCCGTTGAGTAGTTTTGGTTCTAAAAGGAACATACATACAGACAGACAGACAGACAAAAATTTTACTGATTGCATTTTTGGCATCAGTATTGATCACTAATCACCCCCTGATAGTTATTTTGAAAATATATTTCATGTACAGAATTGACATCTCTACAGATTTATTATAAGTATAGATAAGAAAAACTGGTCATAACACCTTAAATGACCTAGTGCTTGGTGTACGTGGCGACAATGAAACTTTAAAACAATAGACAGTAATATTAGTCTAGACTCGAATTATTTGATTCTAGAACTATGAAACGGATAACCTACAGATGTATTATTATGTATACCTTAATGAGAATGTAGATACCCAATAAGTCAAACAGTCTTAAATTGATGTGATTGAGAGCACAGTGAGTATTTATATGATTTATGTATTGAAACTACGTACGAGTATATTGTTTGGAAAATCAACGGGGCGAACTCGTGACATTTTGCTTGGATGATTCCTTTTACCATCGGTCTATACGCGATACGCATATTCCTCAGATCTCATTACACCTGAAGAAATTTTGACTAGAAAATAACTCGGTTCAGCAGGACGAATCTGTAAAATGATACTTTAGGCGTTGTTTATTATGCATTCTTTGATTATTTGTACGCCTAGCTAGCTAGATGGAGGAATCCAAGTAAACCACGCAAAGAAAACACAAATAATTACGCGCGTGTGTGCGTGAATCTAATGGCGCGATTACATTTGGTCGGTAGCCCGAATACGACTGCCAATGGAATTCGGGTAAATTACTGACGGAGTCGAGTACGCCTGTTTACGGGTAATTTTTGTGTAAATATCGCTTCCGGTGCCCGAATTCGAGTAATGTCTTTCGTGCATCCAAATACGGGCTAAGGACCAAGTGCAATTGAGCCGTAATGTCAGATTATCTAATGTGTACGTATGTAGTCAGATTGTCTAGTGTGTACGTGTGTAGCGATGATCATATGTAACATAGGTATTAGATATTTTTTTCGCCGCTTTCGTGCAATTAATACGGTGTCTAGGCTGTATAAAATCAAAATGTGCATTACTTAATGAGACCAATAAAATGTCGCTATATCTGTTGAATAAACCAGTTGTCAAAAATCCGAATCAATGGATGCCATACCCGCTATGCTACCGACACTTTAATGGCCGTGTAGAATTTCTTCTGGTATTTATTTGTTTCTTAGGTTTTCACGCACATCACTCATTAAATAAAACTAGTTTTTACGGGTTAATGCACGAAACTTTATTTATTTATTGACGTTTCGCAGCCTTTTCAGGTCTGCATCGTCAGAATAATGATTTTATTTAAAATTGTCGAGCTACCTTCGAAAGAATTATATTGTGCGTTCGGTTATTTCATTGGAAGATTTTTAAATTTTTTTTATTGTCTATGTATGAATTTATTATTTAATTTACTTAATAAAGTATTTTATTTAAAATTCTTGTTTGTAATTTTGAGTTTATTTATTTGACCCTAACTACCGTAAACTACCACCGGTTCCAAAATTGGGAGACCTTCCTGAGAAGAACCGGCGAAACAAACTCAAGAGAGGCTTTCTATCTCCTTCTTATGTTAAATTATGCAAACAAAAAGAACTAATAGTATCTGATGGTCTTGCAGTGTGTGCTCGGGGTTGGGATTTTATCTCCTGTATAATAGGTTCCCAAGCTGGTGGTATATACCAACCATCTTCCCTATTGAAATTTGGATATATTTTAATCTCAATAGCCTCGCGCATCATTCGAGGAACGAACCGCCGCTCAGCTGCTCAGCAAAAAATTTTAAAAATCTTCCAATGAAATAACCGAACGCACAATATAATTCTTTCGAAGGTAGCTCGACAATTTTAAATAAAATCATTATTCTGACGATGCAGACCTGAAAAGGCTGCGAAACGTCAATAAATAAATAAAGTTTCGTGCATTAACCCGTAAAAACTAGTTTTATTCTGGTATTTAGTTTTTATTCCTTCTACTAGGCAGCGCCATCTCTTCGCATTTTAGGTAAACCACACTGTGAAACGAAATAATTTTAAAAATATTAAATATTAAAAAAAAACGAGTGTGCTTATGACCACACGACTGAAGTGAAACTTCTTTAGCTTCATCTGTATGTATGTATATATATATATATATACAGTCAGGTCATAAGTATTGTCACACAGTAAAAACTTTTCTTTTAGAATGCTGGGCACAAAAAAATTTATTGAATTCGAATTGTTCATGAAAATAAAACTGTATACCTTTTAGAATTTTATTCATTTTTAAATATGGAGTGGACGCTTAAAGAAGACCGTGTTGCAGTTATTGCGTTGCATCGTTGCGGTTACGCGCCATTTCAAAGTTTTGACATACTGAAAATTTTGAATATAACCAAAAGATTCGTTTATCGTACCATCAAACGATACAGTGAACTCTAGTGTAGATAACAGGTCAAGAAGTCGTCGCCCTCGGTCTGTTAGGACTCCAGCAGTGATAAAAGCTGTGAAGGCGCGATTTCAAAGAAATCCCAAACGTAAGCAGAAACTTTTGGCCCTTCAGATGGGGTTAAGCAGAACCACGGTGAAAAGGGTGTTAAATGAAGACTTAGGGCTTCGGGCATATCGAAGAAAAACAGGACATCGTTTGAATGCTCGTCTAATGGACCTGAGACTGAAGAGATGCCGCGCTTTGTTGAAGCGGTACGCGGGAAAAAAATATCGGGAAATTCTTTTTTGTGATGAAATAATTTTTACCGTAGAAAAGAGCTACAATAAACAAAATGATAAGGTGTACGCACACAGTAGTGAAGAAGCGAGCAACCGTATTGCGCGTGTCCAACGAGGTCATTTTCCATCCTCGCTCATGGTATGGTTGGGAGTTTCTTATTGGGGCTTAACAGAGGTACATTTTTGTGAGAAAGGTGTAAAAACGAATGCAGTTGTGTATCAAAATACAGTCCTGACGAACCTTGTCGAACCTGTTTCTCATACCATGTTCAATAACAGGCACGGTGTATTCCAACAAGATTAAGCGCCAGCTCATAGAGCGAAGAGCACATAAGACTGGCTGGCGGTGCGTGAAATCGACTTCATCCGGCACGAAGACTGGTCCTCCTCCAGTCCAGATTTAAGTCCGTTAGATTACAAGATATGGCAACACTTGGAGAAAAAGGCGTGCTCAAAGCCTCATCCCTATTTGGAGCCACTCAAGACATCCTTGATTAAGGCGGCCGCCGATATTGACATGGACCTCGTTTGTGCTGCGATAGACGACTGGACGCGCAGATTGAAGGCCTGTATTCAAAATCAAGGAGGTCATTTTGAATAAACTTTATCGTCATAAGAATCTATGTTTTGTTAAGTTCATTTTGGTATATAAATGGGTACATAATGAATAAACTTGTTTCAATTATTTTATATTAAACATGTGACAGAATTTATGACCTGACTAGGTATATGTACAATATATACATGTACATATTTCAATGTGTGCACGCACTGCTTTCTCTTGCTTATATCCCCCACTCAACTCCCGTTCGCCTCGCCCGAACACACCTTTCGTAACGCATTAGCCAGCTTACCCCCCAAGTCAAGCGTGCATAAAAAAATTTCACTTCAAAAAAGAAATAGTCATTGTAGTATACATCTTTATTTTAAGCATTTAACGGCTTGAATTAACAATTGAAAATGTTCATATTATCGCGGTAAAAGATTAAATAGATGCTATAGAAAAAGTCGTGGATAGAACCTAGCGCTACATGTAACAAGAGACCTCTGTCAATAAACAGCCCGTGCCGTGCTGTCATTGACATTGGTTCGGTCACCAAACGATTTGATAACGAATCTCTACGTTGCTGATTGGATTCCAATCCGCAATTCGTTTTGCGGATATACGTCGATGTATAGATACTAGAGGTTGCTTTCCAATTACAGCATTATTGCGCATTATGCGGCATAATGCTTAACGTTGAGTGTTCCAACTACAGCAACGCTTCGCACAATTGAGCACTCTCAAAAGTGATGCTTTCATGTGATGCGTGCAATGGTACCAACTTAGAGAAAGAAAATTAACAAGTGTTTTATCTTTAAGTTGGCATTGATCGAAATGTTTTATTTATATGTTATCGTTAGTAATATTATTTATTGTTGAAAAATTATTAAAGCTTTCGTTTCATTAAATAGTTTTTTTTTAAATAATCAAAGTTCATTCAAACTGTTAAAAAATAAATATAAGTATGGATGAAGGTAGAAACATTGACTTTTTTTTTTCAACACTGAACTTAGCGCACTGTGCTGGTGCATTTGAAAACTAATTCACGTTCCAATTAAGCATCAGCATAATTGGGCATTGTGCGGCACTGAGTCGCATTATGCTCTGTAATTGGAAAGCATACAGAATAACCTATCCATTTGTCAATAGATTTGTTAAAATACAGACGACAGGCTTATGTCCGCTACCTTGTCTGCAGTAACTGTAGAAAATTGGTCGAAAAAGAAATGAAACTTAAAATGTTAAATTACTTCAAATGAGCATCGCATGAACACGTAATGGTCCGTACTCACGGTATTACCCTAACTCGATAAAAAGCAACGCGTGCATCGTAGAACTCACAACGCGAAAGCTCGTTCTTAGGACGCGACCAACGATATAAAATACCCTAGATACACCACGTGCGCTCAAAATGTGTCCCTATCAGGAAGTGCTTGAACACGACTCAAGCACTTCTTGGTTCACAGTCACGCGCGGACTTATATATATAATATTATAAAAACTTCGTGATAACTAGTTGCGTGATTTAGGAAAAGTAAATGAATATACATAATGATAGGAAAAAACGATTTAATTTCACAGTATAGGTATACAGATATAGATAATGTTACTTTGATACATTTTTATCGAATTTCAAGTGTATCCATATTGTATTTTGTTCGCGTGTTGATAATCCCACAGGAAACTGAAAATGTTCTGGCATTTTCACACATTCTATACTCAATGAGATTAAGTGTATGTGGTAGGATAGTTATTTGTCAGTTTTACTTAGCAAGTAGTGTACTTTCCTTTATATTTGTTGAAAATAGATTATTACACTTTCAGTAAATCACACGAGATCACAGTGAGCTGTTGTATCGGAATATAATAGATTGAAAGAAATAAAGTCCATATTCTTCCGCATAAAGCAATAAGTCGTACAATTTTACGAGATTACATTTCGGACTGTCAGAACTATTTGACGGATGCGTTTTAATTAATACCCTACACTGTATGCTTTAAAGGTGATTTTCAATGTTTAAATAATGCCTTATATTGTTTGACTACGCGATCATCTTACGGAGCTCCGTGGATCGTCCAGTGTACCTTGTGGACAGGTTTCGGGCATGATTTTGTTCGTGTTGGTGTAACTAGGGTATTTAATATCGTTGATTGCAATGCGTAATAATGTGAGATATTCAAACTTTCTGATTGAAAAGTAGAGTCGAAAATATCAAATCATCATTTATTATTTGTTGCTATCCATACGCAATTCAATTTCGGGTTTGAAATGGGATCGTGT